CAACGGATCTCGCGTGGGGGGGACGTTGTCGCCTGCAACAACCTTGTGTGATAGAAGGGTCTGGATCTCACAGGTGAGGCCGAGGGGAACTTGGGCTGCACCTCGGAGGGTTGATTCTTGGATCTGTCAATGGAGATTCTCGGCCATCCAAGTCATGATTGCCCCAAAGGTGCTTTTTTTCCCAAGAGACAAGTGGATTTTCTCTGAAGACGTTTCGCTTCTCATCCAAGAAGCTTCTTCAGCTCTGAAGTACTTGAGAGACCGCCTCCTGCCAATTGCCTCCCATAGACCCATCAGATCAGGACTCCTCCGAATTCCATCTGCCGGCCAATGTTGGCTGGCAACTACTCAGAAGAGGGCCTTCTCTGTGGCTGCTCTGACCCTGTGGAACGAACTCCCCGTGGAGATTTGGACCCTCGCCACCCTTCAGGCCTTCCGGACAGCCGTTAAGACCTGGCTGTCCCAGCAAGCAGGGGTTGAGTTCCCCCCTCTACTCGAACTGTTGTGCTTGTTGTGTTTTTTAAATTGTTGTATTACTGTCTCGTTTGTCTTACTTTTCTATATTTGTTCCCCTTCCCTTGATTTTTTGTTCAGCCGCCCTGAGTCCCTTCGGGGAATAGGGCGGCCTACAAATCGAATAAATACCAAATACCAATACCAAATACCACTGATGATTTACCCAATTGAGCAATGGAGGTCTACAAGCAAGCAACTAAATTCAGAAAGCAACTAGGTAAGCTGTTACACTGAAATCTCCTGAAACCTCTTCACAAAGAGGTCTTCAACAAAACTTTCAGCAAGTTAAAACTGAAATTTGATTCTTCTGTTTAAAAGCACAGTATTCTCTCTCTTCTCTTTTTTAGTGCTAGATTTTTTATTGGTCAAAACCAATCTTTTTAATCAAGTTATACACCTGAATTTTAATAACATAAAAGAGGCTCTGGAAACCCCCTGCTTGAAAACAGGGCAGGAGGTTCAGTTTAAAAACCCACATGACAAATTGATCAACTTTAATATTAATAAACTTAATCTAAAAGTGCTATGTAAAATACATTTCAATGAAAGAGATTTCATTACGGAGTGCCAAAACAGATGCTTGATTTCAACAAACTTCAATATGTCGGATATTACTACTCTTCATTCTGATGCAAATTTCTAACTGCAAAATGTCTTTTAATTCTCTACACGTCATCTGCTTCTGAATCTGAGCTCTTTTTCCTTTTTTTCTCTGAGTGCTTTAGTGCCTCAGGGTTTAACAGCAAAAACTATCCCAGAAGGCTGACTCAGTGTGCTATTCTGACATCATCTTAAAATTAATTTATTAAGCAGCTGAACATTTCCCCCACACCAAACAGTGCCACAGGATGACATTAATAAACACACACTGAAAAATTTGTGTAAACTGTGAAAAATTACAGCAGCTGAACAGGTGAAAATTAGATTCATCAATTTTGCTACTGGATATGATTGAAGGCATTAAAGATTAAAGAAAGAGAAGGGAAAATAAGAGCACATGATCATTTTTGCTCATTGTCATTTGATATGAATTCTTACATCAGATCTTTCTAAGAACATAAGCAGGCATTTTGAAGTTATATAACCATGTATTATTCAATCAAAAATAAAACTAAATAAAAGCACAAGTTTTTCTCTGAAACTATGGAATGTTCTTCCTTTTTTGTTCTTTTTTATTGAAAATTAAGATAAAAATGAATACAGAATTAAATGGAAAATAAAAAGCAACGGCAACTCTCTCCCCAAAAAGGAAAAAAAAGAAAGAAAATAAAAAGAAAACATCTTGAATTTATTTTTGGGATTCATTATAGCTGTGAAGGGCTTTTTTTCCCAAAACCTTTTGATCAGAATGAATAATTAACTGGGCGATGATATGCTATGTAAATTTGCTTACTGCCAACACATTGTAGAAAGGTTCAATTTAATGCATTTTAATGCCACATTTGGATTATTTTCATAGATTTAAATGACTTAATGAATCAATTAAAAACAACACTATGCCACGAAGCCTTCCAATGAGATACATTGAGTTTAAATCCCACGCTCTCATTTTTTTCAAGATTTCCAAAAGAACCTGTCATAATTGATATATGGATTTTATATAATACTGAAAAGATTCTCTTAATTTTAAAAGAGCTGGATGTGTATAACTCTTCAAAATATGTTAATGGTTGTAAGTTATGAGTTTTAGCAAGCTTAAAAAAGGAATGATAGAACTTGACTCATCTGAAATAAAGCTGAAACATGACTAATGCTTTCGCAGAACAGATTTAACAATATGAATGTTCATAAATAATTAAACGTTCCTTGTATTAAATATATCTGCCTTTACAAGAAAACTATTAAAAAACAGGAACAGAAATCAGGAGAGCTTTCATTTTTCAGCTATCAATGAAATGACTGCCTAAAAGCAGTAGTTTTTTTAATTACTAAAAGGCTGTTGAATATTTTTATTTCATCAGATCTTTGAGGCTTTAAGGATCCTGTGAATACCATGGCTTTTTATTGTTTATTCAATTTATTTTTATACATTAAATGCATTTATTATTATAACACACAGCAGTACTGAAGAACAATAGAGGGAAGATAAAATCATAGTATAAAATGCAGATAGCACAACTAAATGATAAATGGTATAGTTCTTATTCTCCAAATACTGCTGGAACAGTTCAGTATTTAAAACTACCATTCTAACTGCTGGGGGGGAGGCATCTCATAGTATAGGGGCAAAACTGAAAAACATTGATGTCTCCTCCCTCTGTTTTATTTACTTCATGGACTGGGACTCATAAGCCATTCTGAAGAGGTATATGCATTTTAAATGGGTTAAATGGGCTGCTTCCTTACAGAGAAGGCAGCCTGTAAGCATCTGTCAGGGGAAGAAGACAGGCAGGTGGATGCCAAGATTCCCACAAGGAAACTCAATGTAGAAGCCAGGAGAAAGTCACAATTTGCTCCTTCTTTTACTGCTTTTCTGTCTGCCCTTGGTCATTCTGTTTCTCTATTTAGCTAAGGAAGTATCTCTGAAACAATGATCCAACAGGTCATGGATTGTCTAGGTTTTTTAAAACAACAAATCAAAGAAACTTCACATCCTCGCTTAAACCATGACTGTGGCTTTGATTGCCCTGTGTTTTCTGTGAAAGATATGTCAGAAACTTTCATCTTAGCTCCCATTTCTGCTATCCTTAACTACAAGGGAACTAGCTATACAGTCCGATCTCCATTTTCATCAACTATACCTGGTCCTTACAGCCACAGTAATGATAGCATCCTTTCACCTCATCTTCAAAGAGGTGAGAATATTACCAGTACTATCTTGGACAGTTGGCCCTGAAGCCACTTCTCAGAATTTTAGCTGGCTTTTTTGTCCCAATATAACAGGTTTCATTGAGTTAAATCACTCCATACATCTCCATTCTATGATTTGTATTTTAATTTCTTAATTTGTTCCTGAATAAAATAACCCCAATTTTCTTATTCCGAAGGAACTTTTCTTTTCTGGGTAATTCTAAAATGACATGCCAATTACAGGAGATAAAAACCAACACAAAGAGAAGTTGATTTAGTTACAGTACTTACAAGAGTAGTAAGAATCTTTTGAAGAAGTACAGTATAAAGACAATGGAAAAAATACTGTGCATCAATACTAGTATGAATGTAAAAAAATGCCATGAGATTATATCAATGTTAGTTTCAACTACAGAAAGAATTCAATATCATTTTAAACTCATTTTAACATCAAACCTAACTTTTGCATTTTTTTATTTTTAATCTGATTTTACTTTTGTAATTGCTTTAGATTCATCTTGGTGAGGAGAAAAAGCAGGAATATGTTATTAATTTAAAATTTAAATGTTGAACTTCATTTTTTGTACACTTTGAAGCCATGTATATACATTAAAGGCTACTTTCTCTCATTTTTCTACCATTCCTGAATGACTTCATAATAAATGAATGCATGTATGTGTATATGTATGTGTGTATAACACACATACTTTTTTCTGCAAAGCTTCTAAACAGGTACAAGTTACACATCTGTCAGTAATTAAATCAATTCACCTCCACTTATAAATATGCCAGACTACTTAACATGAAAGTTTCCATTTCATTAAGAGAAAAAACATTTTTTAAGAATAATTTTTCTTTAGAATTAAGAATGATTCTACTATTATAAGAACCTGACCTTGTTATATTGAACTTCAGGACTTACCTGTGGTTTCTTCATAATCTCGATATAGAACATACGATTCCTCATTGGATAAATAACAATTAAAACATCACCAAAATCTGTTGGTATAATGCCCCTGCGATAATTTCTGGTGTGTTCAGACCAGATAACATGAACTTCATCATTTCCCAAGTGACGAAGCTGTAACAGCAAATGGATTTGCTATTAATCAGAATGACAGAAGAGTTTGAGGAGGTAGGCTATAGGAATGAAATTATAATGCCAACAGTGTATCTGCTTCATCAGAGAAAATTGTATAAAAATTATTTTCTGCATGTTAAATAACTTCCTTGTTTCAAATATCGTGGGACCTCACATGGATTACCTTTTTGTGACAAATGAGTAAAAACATATGAATGACTGGAACATCAAGAAAATGGGACGAGCTTATAAGAGATAATTCACAGTAGATATGCTTTGTATCCATGGCAATTCAATAATTTTCATTCAAGTTTTAGTAGCTACATTCAATTAATCAAAGATAAAATTAACGAAGTGGACATTACAAAAAGAGTTTACAATTTCAAAAGCTGTGGCAAAACCAATGTCCTCTAAGACTTACTGTATTTTTCGGAGTATAAGACGGACTTTTTCGGCATGCCTTTTTATGGTACAAGGGAACTAAAACACAGGGGTATTTTAGAAGAAATTACCTATGGGAGGCTTTGCTGCTAAATTGGGAGAAAATTAAAAGACAATATTGTTTAAAAATCCCAGTCTGGCTATCAACTATCGAAGCCTTTTCATACACAATAATACACAAAAAGGAACAAACAGTTAGATATGGTGAAATATTGAATACAGAGGTGAACTTAAATCTATGCAAGATCTGGAAAAGGAAGGTATAAAGATGAACTGGTTTTCATATGTGCAAATACAATCTAGATATGACAAGGAACGTAAAGAGGAAGGTTTTTATGATAAAATGACTGAGTTAGATAAAATTTTGGTGGGTACTGATGAAAAAGTAATTAACTTTATGAACACTTACTAGAGGTTAAGTTAGAAGAAGAACAAGTTAAAGGAACTATGATAGCTTGGGGGGAAAATTTGGGGCATGGGATTGATTTAGAGAAGTGGCAGAAATTGTGGTCTCAAAATGACAATGTCAACAGCATATAAAAAAAATTTGTATAAGGTGTTTTACAGGTGGCATCTAGCTCCGATGAGAATAGCAAGAATGTTCAAGAATAAATCAGAAAAGTGTTGGAAATGTCATCAGACACTGGGTTCATATTACCATATTTGGTGGACTTGCACCGAAGCTAAAAGATATTGGACCAAGATCCACACGTGGTTGGAGAAAATGACACAAAAATGCATAGACTTTAAACCAGAGACTTTTTTATTGGAAATTATACCAGAAATATATAATAGAGACTTGAAATAT